ATTGAGCATATACCATGTTCTAGTTACTATTTTAAGGCTTTACATACATCATGATGCTTGATTTTTACAATAATCCACTGCCTAAGCTACATAGTCAACTGCAGACCAGCCTCAACTACATAGCAAGACCCTGTCTCAAAAAAAAAAAAAAAAAAGAAAAAAAATTGCCGAGGACAAGCTAAGTTATAAGAGGTAATGTAGGTAGAATTTGAACCTGATTCCAGAGCCCCAACTCTTACTTATGCCTTAAGACAGTCAAAAGCTGTTTAAACCAGAATGGGTCATTTCCAAGTGGTTTGATCCATTTTAAACTTGATTTGGCACACTTAAAGGAGTTGAAATTGCCAAGTTCAGCTATATTGAGGTAGGTTTTTTGTTGGTTTTTTTTGAGACAGGGTCTCACTATGCAGTTCAGGTTGGATTTGAACTCACTGTGTAGCCAGGCTGGCCTCAAACTCAGAGATTCTCCTGCCTCAGCCTCCCGAGTGCTGGGATTACAGGTGTGCACCACCATGCCTGGCTATATTGAGTTTAAATTGATAAGAATAAGTTGATATAATTTGCAAGTAGCTGTATTAAAGTTCTATGTCTATTAATCAGAAGCGCAGTTGTCGATCAGCTTCTGGTTGGTGTTGATGGATTGTGTTAAATCTTTGCAGACATAATAAAGTATTGTGACACTTTATTGACCTGTGTGTCTTAAATACATATACTTTCCAATTAGAGAATTTATAAACAGTAAAATGAATCCATCACTGGGTACAAAAAGAAAACCCTTTTGTAATGTACTGTGAATATTTACTGTCTTAAATTTCACTTAAATTTTATTACGGGGTTAAATTATTTTGTGACTTTTGATTTTGACATGATTTTGTATTTATAGAAATGTGAAAATAATATAAGAAAGCCTTTGTACCTTTTATTCATGTTCTCCAATCGTTCACCCTCACCATTTTCTTACACTGTGTGTGCACCTGTATATGTGCAGTGTTTTGGGGCTGCCTAAGACCAGTTGCAGACATGCTCACTTAAATACCTCGGTGTGTATAGTCTACTGTAATTGATTATAGTCCATTGCTATTTGTGCTTATTGCTTAGATTGTCTGAATTTCTCCAGGATGAGATCTTTCAAGCTAGCATCTGTGTTCTTTTGACATAGCCATTGCATTGTTTGAATAAAGATATTCCAACCTCTTGGATCTTCACTACCTCAGCCTTAGAATCAACCATTTCTCCAGGGAGCCCAATTTCTTTTGGTGGCGAAGGGTACTAGGAACCAAGATTTTTGGGTGTGCCTATTGCTATTGATGTGTCATTGTCTAGACACTAGTGTCAGCTCCTTAGCAGATGGAGTGTGTGTGTGTGTGTGTGTGTGTGTGTGTGTGTGTTGAGATCTTGAGTCCATACTGGTCTCTTCAGTCCAGAACCTGGGGTTTGGAGGTGGGGGATATATAGCTCAGTGGTAGAGCACATGCTTAGTATTACAAAAAATGAAGGGAAGGTAGGGTTCAGTCTGGGCCTCCTGCCATCTGTATTTGTAACTTCCTTCTCTAATAGTAGAAAATCTGGCTCTAGAGATTAATTTTTAAGAGTGCTATGTGTAGATTAGGTCTGTGTCTAAGCAAGTGTAGATGTGCTGTGATTCTTTGAGAGACTGTCAATCATTGTGTGTTCTCAGTCCCTTTAGTCTATGTCTATCTTTGTATGTTTTCCCATTCCTGTCATTTCTTGCCCTCTGCTTTTTCTGTATCTTCATCTCTGGATGTGATCCCAAAGCAGAGTACATTTTTATTATAATATTTATGGAATCATTTTATCCTTGCTGTTTTCAGGTAGGTGGTTGAGTCTAATGTTTTTAAACACCCCCCTCCCCAAATTAACTTGCTTTTTTGGTAGGGGCCCTAAGTCCTCACTTCCATGGCTCAGTGAGTTTCCCCAGTCCTTCCTATAGAGCATTCTCTGTTCCCATCCCAGCATGCCTGGCTCACTGTGTCATTGTAAGCAAGTGACTTGATCTCTCTGGTCCCAAATGACCCCTGTCCTTTCTCTGCCCCTCCCAGCTGCACAGTATGGATGTGAGACCAGGCACTCAATTGAGGAGGGAAATGAAATAGCCAGCTAGCTAATACTATTTTATGATGTTTTCAGTGATATAAATTACAATAAAGGCCAGGCATGGTGGCTCATGCACTCAGGTGGCCGAGGCAGGAGGATTGCGATGAGTTTGAGGCCAGCCTGAATTATATAGTGAGACTCTGACTCAAAAAACAAAAACACCAAATCTGCCACTTTTTATCTATGGGATCTTGAAAGTTACTCTGTCCATGCCTCAGTTTCCTCAACTGTAAATGGGAATGATGATAATAATGCCTGCAAAAGGTTATCAGAATTAATTAACATGGAAAGCAGCTTAAATTGACCATCTTAAAATAATGGTAGGTGATTGTCCCCCCCCATCTGTTCTCTACACAGCAGTCAGTATTAAAAAGGATTATATCAGTCCTCCGCTCAAATCCTATCAATGGCTTTTCTTCCCATTTGAAGAAAGAACCAAATTCAATACGTGGACTTCAGGACCCCGTAAGACCTGGCCCTCCGGGTGTCTGACCTTGACGCACATGGACCTCTCCCTCCTGTGTTCCTTGCTGTTCCTGAACACACTGGCCTGTTCCCTCCTAGGGTCTTTGCCCTCACTATTCTTACCCTTCCCCCAGATATCCACACAGCTCGCTCCTTCAGTAGCCAGAGTTCTCTAGAATTCTGTCCTTCCTAGGATTTTGGCTCTCAGCTCAGATTCCTCAGAGAGAATTTGGCCCACCCTGGTCCAGTGCCCTTGTTCAGGAAGACAAGTTCAGAGAGGACAACATGGCTACCAGGGTCCCCAGGTGCATATGCACTACTTTTGTGTCTTTTACCTCTCCAACTCCCATGCTCCTAAAAAAGGGGGATTATTTTTCCCCAATGAATTTGGAGCACAAAAACCTTAAGGGAAAAAATGCCCTTCTGTGAGATTAAGTATACATAAAAAGACTAACTCTTGGGGAGGGAGAAGAATTTCTCCCACTCACTGTGGATATGTGTAGGCTTCTGGGAGCTGAGAAATGGATTTTAAAAAGAAAAGGTAAAAACCTGGGGAAGCAATGTTGTGAAAGAATTGATTTGTCTAATTTTCTAGGCTGCATGGTTCAGAAGAGAACCTTGAAAGGGCTGGGGATTTAGCTCCGACTTACCTGCCGTCTGACCTGCATGTCTTCGTGAGGTGAGAGGTAAACTCTCTCGGTGCTCTTTGGATATGTCCTTTCCAGGGTGACTTGAGACCCCTCTGCTAGAGCCCTCACTTAAGCCTCACATTAAGAGTTGAGCTACAGGTTTGGGCTTTTCTCTCTCCACTAGGATGACAGGACCCCCCTTCTCCAGATAACTTAATAGATTTACTGGGCTGAGAACAGGTTAGGATCCTAGCCCATATTCCAGGATTCCCCTTGTCCCTAGTGTCCCTGGTGCTTGGGCTCTTCCCTGAACTTTCACAGAGCCAATATCTAACAAGTAATGCCTAGATTCCCTGAAAAGGGTTTATTAGGACAAAGGTCAAAGTTAAGAAAAAGTCCCTCAGGCCATTTTACCGCTCCAACCTGCTAGCTGTACTCTCAGACCTCCTCCAGTACTCAGCGATTGGTTGGTTGGAGAAGCTAATTGGAACTTCCTCAACCACTTCCTTCAGACTCTTCAGAGTCTGCTTCTCTAGACAAAAGCCATGTGGCACCACCATCCCTCTCCCCTGGAGGCTGGGCTAAGGAATAGGGGCTTTCTGTCTTATGAGGGCTTTCTGTCACTCCCAGGGACCCTCAAAATTTATTCAATCCAAACCCATCTATCCACCATGAGGATCAGGCCCTGAGTGCACCCTCCTAGGATAACGTGTGGACACAGAGCACAATTAGTGTGATACCTTAAGTAGATGCTCATATTAGCCCAAATGCTTTTTGGCTTGCATAACTTAACAGTGGACGAATTTAAATCAGTTTGTAAGAGTAAAAATGTCTTTAAGTTGTTGACCTGTTTCTATCCAGGTTGTTAGCCAATCAAGATATGATTTTAAAATTATTTCATAAATACAATATCTATTGTCTATACAATAATTTAAGAGTTTTTCTTGGGTCAAATATAAATAGATAGATAGTTAGGTAGATAGATATAGTAGTACCTTGGTTTATGAACTTAATTTGTTTTATGATTTTGGAGGAGATGGCTGTGTTTGTGTTTGTGTGGGGAGGATGGCTGTGGTCATGTTTGTCACCTGATGTGGAGTTTGTGAATGGAAGCAAAATTTTGCTGAACATTTTTATTTGTGAATGGAAATGTTTGCAAACAGAAGTGTTCATGAACCAAAGTATTACTGTTATCTTTGTTTTTTGTTTTGCTTTGGTTTTGGTACTGGGGATCGAACTCCGGACCTTGCGCTTGCCAGGCAGGTGGTGGAACCACTGAGCCAAATCCCTGGCCCCAACCATTATCTTTTTAAAAAGTGTTAACTGTTATGATTTGTTTATCATAAGTCATCTAAAGTAATTGTAAAGATAATAGCCTTTGGGCTTAGAACTGATAGATAAAACTTCCTTCTGTGGCCCAAAAAAAAGCTGTCTGAACCAATTTGTTCAGTTTTTATCCACTGGTGACACTACTCTTGTTTTTCCAGAGTCTTATGGCAGCACACCCCTATGGATGTTATTAAATATATTACTCTAATATATTTAAGTTGGCAACGATTAAAAGGTTAAGCTTTTTATGTCTAAAATAATAAAGTTTTCTTAAGACATTAGGATGCCCTTGGTTAAACTTACAAAACTAGATTTAAAAACAAAAGCTCTATATTGTACTAAGATAGTTTCTTGTGTTTTCC